GTGTTTTGGCAGTGTGGGCAGGTGCCAAGTCCTGCTGGAAAATGAAGTCAGCATCCCCATGAAGCTCGTCTGCTGAAGGAAGCATGAAGTGCTCCAAAATCTCCTGGTAGACGGCTGCATTGACCCTGGACTTAATGAAGCACAGTGGACCAACACCAGCAGATGACATGGCTCCCCAAATCAACACAGACTGTGGAAACTTCACACTGGACTTCAAGCATCTTGCAGTGCGTGCCTCTCCATTCTTCCTCCATACTCTTGGTTCTTGGTTTCCAAATGAGATGCAAAAGTTGCTCTCATCAGAAAAGAGGACTTTGGACCACTGAGCAACAGACCAGGTCTGTTTTTCTTTAGCCCAGGTAAGACGCTTCTGATGTTGTTTGTTGTTGAGGAGTGGTTTGACAAGAGGAATACGACATTTGAAGCCCATGTCCAGGATCCGTCTGTGTGTGGTGGCTCTTGATGCACTGACTCCAGCCTCAGTCCACTCCTTCTGAAAGTCCCCAGCACTTTTGAATGGCCTTTTCCTGACAATCCTCTTCAGACTGCGGTGATCCCTGCTGCTTGTGCACCTTTTTCTTCCACACTCTTCCCTTCCACATAATTTTCTATCAATGTGCTTTGATACAGCACTTTGGGAACATCCAACTTCTTTTGCAATTACCTTTTGAGGCTTTCCCTCCTTATGGAGGGTGTCAATGATGGTTTTCTGCACAACTGTCAGGTCAGCAGTCTTTCCCATGATTGTGATTCCTACTGAACCAGACTGAGAGACCATTTAAAGGCTCAGGAACCCTTTGCAGGTGTTATGGCTTAATTAGCTAATTAGAGTGGGACACTTTGAGCCTAGAATATTGCACCTTTTCACAATATTCAAATTTTCTGAGATAGTGGATTTGGGGTTTTCATGAGCTGTAAGCCATAATCATCACAATTATGACAAATCACAGCTTGAACTATCTTGCTTTGCATGTAACGAGTCTATCTCATATATTAGTTTCACCTTTTAAGTTGCATTATTATTATGCATCATTAAATAAATGAACTTTTGCACGATATTCAAATTTTTCGAGTTTCATCTGTAAATACCTTTTTGTTCCCTTTTTTGTAAGTGATCACATACACTCTGTTCTCAGCTGCAAAAGTGGCTCAGTGAGAAGAAATAGCAGCACATTGATATTCCCAGTCAATGGCTGTGAAAGGGGCATGTCAGTGTAAGCCTGACCATTGGATTAGCTCCCAGCACAGCCAGAAAGCTGACCACATTGTGCTCTCATTATTTTATTTTAATTTCAGGTATTTATATAGCATCATCAATTTACGCAGGGCTTTACATACATATATTGTACATTCACATCAGTCCCTAGCCCTCAAGGGGCATACAATCTAAGGTCCCTAACTCACATTCATACATACACTATATTGCCAAAAGTATTGGGATATCCCTCCAAATCATTGGATTCAGACGTTCCAATCACCTCCATGGCCACAGGTGTACAGTATATAATCAAGCACCTAGGCATGCAGACTGCTTCTACAAACATTTGTGAAAGAATGGGTTGCACTCAGGAGCTCAGTGGATTGAAGCATGGTACAGTGATAGGTTGCCACCTGTGCAATAAGTCCATCCGTGAAATTTCATTGTCACTAAATATTCCACGGTCAACTGTGTTAGTGGTATTATAACAAAGTGGAAGCATCTGGGAACAACATCAAATCAGCCATGAAGTGGTTGGCCACGTCAAATGACAGAGCAGGGTCAGTGTCTGCAGAGTCAAATGCTAAAAACCTCCAAAGTTCGCATGGCATACAGATTAGCACAACAGTGCATAGAGAGCTTCATGAAATGGGTTTCCATGGCCAAGCAGCTGCATCCAAGCCTTACATCATCAAGTGCAATGCAAATCGTTGGATACAGTGGCATAAAGCACGCCGCCACTGGACTCTAGAGCAGTGGAGACATGTTCTCTGGAGTGATGTATCATGCTTCTCTGTCTGGCAATCGGAAGGATGTGTCTGGGTTTGGCGGTTGCCAGGAGAACTGTACTTGCCTGACTGCATTGTGCCAAATGTAAAGTTTGTTGGAGGGGGATTATGGTATGTGGTTTTCATTCAGGGGTTAGGCTTGGCCCCTTAGTTCCAGTGAAGGGAACTCTTAAAGTGTCAGCATACCAAGACATTTTGGACAATTTCATGCTACCACTGTTGTGGGAATAGTTTGGGAATGGCCCCTTCCTGTTCCAACATGACTGCGTACCAGTGCACAAAGCAAAGTCTATAAGGACATAGATGAGAGAGTTTGGGCTGGAGGAACTTGACTGGCCTGCACAGAGTCCTGACCTCAACCTGATAGAACACCTTTGGGATGATTTAGAGAAAAGACTGTGAGCCAGGCCTTCTCGTCCGACATCAGTGCTTGATCTCACAAATGCTCTTCTGGAAGAATAGTCAAACATTCCCATAGACACACTCCTAAACCTTGTGGACAGCCTTCCCAGAAGAGTTGAAGCTGTTATAGCTGCAAAGGGTGGACCAACTCATTATTGAACCCTATGGACTAAGACTGGGATGCCATTAAAGTTCATGTGCGTGTAAAGGCAGGCATCCCAATACTTTCGACAATATAGTGTACACATGCTAGGGCCAATTTAGATAGGAGCCAATTAAACTACCAGCATGCCTTTGGAGTGTGGAAGGAAAACCACGCAGGCACAGAGAGAACATGAAAACTCCAGGCAGGTAGTGCCATGGTTGGGATTCAAACCAGCAACCCTAGTACTGCCAGGCAGACGTGCCAACCATTTAGCCACTGTGCTGCCCCATGCCTAAAGTGGTCAGCTTTGTTGTTGGTTAGTTTGTGGGTTGAAACGAATGCCACAAAAATAAATGTGCCAAAAACAAATAAGCCAAGTTACAGATGCCAAAACCTTACATACCAAATGCTTTGTGTATTTCTTTACCTTGTGACAAAACGCCTTTTGAGGCTTTGTGAACAATCACAATTTTTTTAGCATATATATGTGAAAGGGTGTGTTACAATCAGGGGTCTATTTATAAAACATTTGTTGCATGAATATCAGAAACATTTGTGAGAGCTGAGCTAAACATCACTGTATGTTTTCAAATAGATTAACTCCTATATTATCAACTCCATCAAGTGGCCAAAATGCTGTATATTTTCTCATTGAAATATTTCAGAAAACTATACTGCATTTTGGCCAATAGATGGAGCTGAAGGTACAAGACGTAATCTATTTGAAAACATACAATGACATTTGGATCAGTTTGCCCGAATGTTTCTGACATTGGTGCAAAGATGGTTTTATAAATAGATCTCTAAGTGTTTTTGTAAAATCAAAACCACTTTTCACTATAGCCACCATCCATTGTGGCATTGTGGCATGCCTTCTGTGGTTCATAAACCCACAGAAATCCCTCTACCATGAAAGGATCAGTAGGGGGCAGTAAAAATACAACAGAACTGCCTGTTTTTATCACCTGTATAACAAGGTTTAATAGAGATTTCTAGCTGGGCTTTTTGGTGGATGAAAAGGTGTATTAATCACAAAAGTAGCTGGACAGAATTAGAAATCATTTGACAGATAAGACAGTTCTCATATTTGTATCTTAACAATGCATTTTGTTTTCTGCAGTCCAGCTTTATGAATGATACACATGTGGTTAATGTATAAAAGCAATGAGCTTACTTGCATTGCACAGGGAATCAGATTTGTGGATTTTTGCTTAGAATAGTGCATGTAATATCAGTGCCAATCCCTCCATTTAACTGCTTTGCATACTAAGTGTCACTATCTCAAATATAGTCCAAAACATGGATTTGATGTGCTTTCTAATGAGTAACAAATTAAAATTCAAAAGAACAAAACAAATAAATGTGTTTTCTTTGATCTAGTAACATCATTAAGTATATTTATTAAGCAATGGATACAGTATATGGAAAATGCTGCAAACTGCCCTTCTTTGCATATTAACTGTTTGAAAAAGGCAGATTTTCTTTAATTTGCGCTGCACACCTGATACCAAGACTATGATTGGTGATTGATTGGTCAGACAAACATACCACAACTCACCTCTTGCTTTTAAATTTGTTTCTTATTTTTACTCTTGTATACAGGTATCAAAGTCAGTTTTCACTGTGCATGTTTCTTTCCTCCACAATACTGAAAACATGGATTTGCCTGTGTAAAGATAATTGAAAATCCAGTGATTACTGCAGTCAGTTATCTTTTGCTGACCTCTGCTGGTGAAAATTGGTAGTATCAAGTAATCATAGACTACATTTAAGTGTCCATATCTGTGTCAAGTCACATTCCAGTATAAGGATAAAAATAGTGAATTGCACTAAATATGAAAAAACAGTACTCAGACAAGCAGACAAGGTTTTCTTCTTTTTTTTTGTTACTAATAATAGTACCTAATGGTGATTGACTTTTTAGAAATTCTCTTCAGTGACTAATTTTTTTTTCCTTGTTGGTTGGCTGTAAGAGTTTGGGCCACAGTTCAAAGAATTTCCTGCTACTGGGTTTTATCAGTTTGATTTTGCCTTGTGTACATTTGTAAAAACAAAACAGCCGTACATGTCAAACCTTTTGTAACCTGAATAGACATCTAGAAATGTGTCAATATACAGAATATTTTAACAGAATACAAGTTTTAGAGTAAGAGTGTAAGCAAATTACATTTTTGGGGCATTTTTCTGCATTACTATTGAAGCAACATTAGGGGCTCTTTCAGGGGCGGACTGACCATTTGGAAACTCGGGCGCTGCCCGAGGGCCCGGGGTCAGTAGGGGGCCCCATGAGATGCCCCTGATACCTTTTTCATAGGCTTTTTTGAGTTTGGGCCCCATGGACACAGGGCCCGGGGGCCCCATGAGTTGTCAGTCCGCCCCTGGGCTCTTTCAAATGTACAGCTGGGGGAGGGGGGGGCTGAGCTGCAGTTTTACCACTCTCCCTGGCTGCCCATTTGAATTCTAACATTTGCCATGGCTGCAATGCTTTGCTTTGTTGCTGCAGCATTTTTAATTTGGGCTGTAGAGTTTGACAGGCTTGTCAAACTTCCCCATTGAAATCAATGGCAAATGCTTTGCTTGCAGTTGCAGCATGATCCTACAATGTAAAATTGCCAAAAAAAAGAAACCAGGCATCAGGGGTAGTGGCAGTAACACCCCCTGAACACCTGTGAGCCACTGCTCTACTGTCTTATAAAAGGGGAACCATCACTGATACCTTTTCTGTGGGCAGTAAGCACAGCTACCTGTCTGAAGGAAACCTAAGAAATTTCCTTTCATTTCCTGCCTTGATGACAGGGTATCACAAAGACAGGAAACAATGGAAAGTCTCTTCAATGCAGAAACAGGATGCATCAAATGCACTATTTTAGTAGAGTGGGAAATTGTTCAAACATTTTCTTATGTTTTAATTGCTGTGTGTCATCCTGCCCAAGAGAAACCTTTTACCTTAATGTCTTGTCCTGTTGTCACTGGCAGAGGAAATGAAGGGAAACCTCTTCAGTGATTTTACAAACAACAATAAAAGCCCAAACGAATTTCTAGCCCTTCCCCACCATAAACAGAACAAAAACATTATTTTTTAAGGTCACAGAGATAGCAAAAAGACAGTTGCACCAGTTTATATATTAAAGTGCACTCTGGAGCCCACTATTGGCCTTTTGTGGTATTACCATTTCTAACAAAACGGGGAGAGCTCTGGGAAAATTCTATTGAAATGACAGATAAGAGTGGTTCAAACACTGTCATAGCATAGTATATTCATTTCAAACATAAAAATATAAATATGCACAGAATGAATTCCCAAACAAAAAAAGTCAGACGATGGCAAAGTCATAAGCAGCAAGCACCATAAAGAATCAAAAAGGAATCCCTCAGCTAGGTGAAATTACACTGGCCACAGGCAGAAAACCATTCGTCAGGGTCAGAATGGAAACAGCACCCCTAGTGCACACAGCAGGAGGGTGTAGACAGCTCACTAAGCTCTGCCCTTTCCTGGTATGGTGTAACAGGGCTGGCCCACATTTTGCAGAAGACACATCCCCTTGATTATGCTAACCTGTCAGACTACCCATCACACTATTTTTTGGACTCATATTGGGTTAACGAATCAACTTATTAAGATAACAATTCAAATTTGAAACTCTGTTGGGCTGATAATTACTTTTATGTTATTACCCAATTAATGTTTTATTGTGACCATATATCTGTTACAAGCAAATCTAACAATTAAAAAAAATAATAAAAAGAGCAGTAAAACATACTGATATGGATATCAAGAGACATTATTAAAATGTTACTAAACACAGGACCCTGCATTCACTATATCTGGTCTCCCACAGTACACACAACATGGAAATGCAATTATATTAGTAAATATAAACTGCTAAATACCTTTTCTTATCAGTAGTTAGAGCGGTCTTGTGACTTCTATCAGTGTCCAGCTGAGCACATGTTAAAGTTTGTAGTAGGAGTTTTCATTTTGTTCTGGGAGGATGCAGAACCCACGATCTCTGTCTGGACAGTGCTGATTGGCCCTGTGCAGATCACATGCACTCTGCCAAGAAAAACAAAAACCTCTCTAGCAATACACACTAAACTGAACATGTGCAGAGTGTTTCCATACGATATGTCTTATCAGGAGATAAGAGGAGTGCACTGAGAGAAGGGGAGTATCAGAGAAGACAGGATCAAATAGCGTTTTTACACAATGCAGAAGATTAAAACCTTAGGTTCCACAGTGAGTATAATAAGCATGCTTTACAGCATATACAGAGTGATTTTACTGTTGTGGGTTAAGTAACAAAGATACTATAAGTAGCAATGTAAAATAACCAAACAAAGTAAAAAAAGAAGTAAAATTAAGCATAAACATAAACTGTAACATGTTTAGAAATATAATATAATATAATATAAGAAATAATAGGATATAGTATATTGGATGAAAAAAATGTGGCAAATAAAAAATAACACATATTATTACAAACCCATATAAAATATATAAAACTGGCCTAAAGATACCATTGACTGTGACCAAAAAGACACTTTAGTCTTAAAAAGAATTTGGCACTCATTCATGCTTTTATTAATTTTCTTTCCCCTTCTTTTCATATTTTTTATGAATCAGCTTCCAGCTACATCAGCTACAAGTTTAACATCTATTGTGGTTAACCACTTGCTGACCAACAATAGTACCTTTACTGCTAGCTGGTGGCACGAGCAGGTACAGCAATGTACATGGACATCACCCTGCTCATGCACACTGGCGTCCCCCTTTTGGGCGTGCAGCGGTACAATCCTGTTACTGCTGTGTCCAGTGGATACAGATGATCACAGTGTTCCCTACCAGGCTGCTGTGAGCAGCTGGGGTATCATGAGATCACTATGGCCAATCATAGCAATCACATGATAATAGGTAAACAAAACTGTTATAAACAGCAGCCATTCTTGACAGCATGCTTACTATTGTGATCGATTACATAGTACAAGGCCATTCACAGTGACATTGTACGATGTGATTAGCTGTAGCCAATCACAGCATCACAACAGTAAGCAAGCCATCCTGACTGAAAAGAATTAATGACGGTTAAAACAATTGCTTATAACAGTAATCAACACTGTTATAAGCAATCAGTGTCACAAAAATGCCTGTACAACCCCTAGAATAGTTCAGTGTTGCTATAGGGACACTGAAATACTCTGATGAAAGTATGTTAAAAAAAAAAAAGAAAAGAAAAATGTTTTAAAAATTCAATATAAAATTATTACCGTTATTTTTTTTTTTACAAATTGTCACCAGGCAGTATGATGATGCTTTACTGCACTGCAACAAACAAAATGGGGGAAAAAAACAAATGTTATTTACTTTCTTCATTTTCCAAAAAATTGTGACAAAAAATTACAAATTCAAAAAAACTCAACATATCTCTTACTAAATACCTTGCACTTTAAAAAAGAGGTCCTTTTTGGGGGTATTTGCACTGTCCTGGCATTTTAGAGCCTCAAGAAATGAGATTGCTGTTGTATGTTGCTGTCTGGCTGTTAGTATATCAGGATTGATCAACTGTCAAATATATATACCATAGTTTAGAGGCTCTAAATTTCATAAAGACTAATTAATATACACTGATTTGGCTTATTTTAACCAAAGAAATGTAGCAGACTACATTTTGGCATAAATTTATAAAGAATTTGATATGTCTTTCCGCTGATGACACAAAGGTGTATAATAAGTTTCTCTCCCTGGAGGTGTCTGTAACATGGAACATGATTTGGCATTGCTGGACGATTGCCCAAAGCAGTGGAAACTGCAGTTCAATGTTTCTAAATGTAAAAAAAATACATTTAGGGAAAAGAACACCTTGAGAGAGTACAACATTGGGGGTACAGTGTTAGCCAGAACTACAGAGGAAAAAGATGTGTGAGTACTTATTTCATTTGATTGCAAAATGAACAAACAGTGTGACCAGGCCAAGTAGTGGGGGAAGTGAACAGAATTCTAGGATGCATCACTAAAAGGATCACCAGCAGAAGAAAGGAGGTCTTGATTCCCTGTATAGATATTTCGTTTTCACTAGAGGGGTCACCGGTAGGAGGAAAAAGGTAGACATGTCATTTTTGGAGATTCGGATGTAAACAAAATTCTCTTAATGGATATAGTAATGAATGTCAGCAACTTAGAAAAACGTTATAATGAAATTAACAAATGCATTTTCATTCAGATGTCACAAGATGCGATAGTAGTTGAGCCCATGGGGAAATAAATTTCAATTTTTGAAATTGATCAATATTTTGGATTCAGATAATGAATGCAATGGTTTTTGTTCCATTTGTTAATTTGGATGCACGTGATGCCAGTTGATATTGTCCAATCAGCTCATGCCATTTGTCTTGGTGGGTTGGACTAGTGTCTTCAAATCCGTCTGATTCAATAATATATCAAATATATAGCAATCTTCTAGAAAAACTGCGACAATTTTCAATTCCACCCAGACTAACGAATATATGAAACGAATGCTGAGGATACAAAACTAATTCTGAAAATCAATTGGGACAACATAATGCATATGATGAAATAAAATGCTTCAATGAACAAATGCATACAAAACGAAAATTTCCAGTGTGCACATGTGTAGAAGGAGGTCCCAATTCTTCTATACAGATTTTCTTTAGTTATCACTAGAGAGGTCACCAACAGAAGGAAGGAGGTCCCAATTCCCTTATATAGATCTTTATTTATCACTAGAGAGGTTTCCAGCAGGAGGAAAGAGGTCCGTGATTCCCCTATATAAATCTTTAGTTATTACTAGAGGAAGACCAACAGGAGGAAGGAGGTCCCAATTCCCCATATAGATCTTTAGTTATCACTAGAGAGGTAACCAACAGGAGTAAGGAGGTCCCAATTCCCCTGAATAGATCTTTAGTTATCCCTAGAAGAGCCACCAGCAATAGGAAGGAGGTCCCGATTCCCCTTTATAGATCTTTAGTTATCACTAGAGAAGTCACCAACATGGGGAAGGCAGTCCTGATTCTCCTATATACAGTAGATCTTTAGCTATCACCTGAATGCTCACTAGTAGGAGGAAGGAAGTCCCGATTCCCCTATATAGATCTTTATATATCACTAGAGAGGTCACCAGCAGTAGGAAGGAAGCCCTGGTTCTCCTATATAGATCTTTGGTTATCACTACAAGGGTCACCAGCAGGAGGAAGGAGGTCCTGATTCCCCTATACAGATCTTTAGTTATTACTAGAGAAGTCACCAACAGGAGGAAGGAGGTCCTGATTCTCCTTTATAGATCCTTAGCTATCACTAAAATGGTCACTAGTAGAAGGAAGGAAGTCCTGATTCCACTATACAGATCTTTAGCTATCACTAGATAGGTCACCAGCAGTAGGAAGGAAGCCTATATAGATCTTTAGTTATCACTAGAGGGGTCACCAGCAGGAGGAAGGCAGCCCTGATTCCCCTATAAAGATCTTTAGTTATCACTAGAGGGGTTACCAGCAGGAGGAAGGAGGTTTTTGATTCCCTTATATAGACCTTTAGTTGGACCTCATTTAGAATACTGTGTCC